ATGCTGGCTGGGGAATTCTGGGAGCTGAAGTCCACAAGTCAATCTAGTTGCCAAGATTGAGAAACACTGAAATAGAGGCTGGATGGTGAGTGTTGGGAATTCTGTAGTAGTGGATTCCCGAACTGAGGTAATTCGATTAGATAAACCCCAAGGTCCCTTTCAACCCTTCCCTTCTATGCCTCAATGATTCCACCTTGATAATTGCACACTTTCCTGTTTAACACCCATCAATAATTATGAAACAATATTCCAAGCATTTACTTAACTTAGAAAAAAGAGGGCAACAATAATGCAGAAAAGAAAGGAAATCAAAGACAAGCCTCTTTCTTACCTCATTTTAAATACGTAATTTCGTTTTAAATGTGGTTACCTGAAGGATGCGCTTGATGTGTTGTCTCTGAGGATTGTCCCCTTCTGTACATTCTTTAACACTGTGAGGATAACAGATAAGCTGCAACAATTTCTGTGCTTGTTTGTTGGAGAGAACTGGATCCAGGATAAGATCTTTGTCGGTACACAGCCTTTCAGGTTCTTTCAAGCAGTGTTCCCCCACCCATTCCTGCCAAAAGAATTCAACTGAGAATAAGTGTCAATAAAAAAGCCAAAGCCAAACTGAAATGTATATCTTAAATGTAACTTCAATGTTTCACAAAAGTACAATATTTTTTCAAAACAAATGAAATTCATAGTAGAGATTTCATTACATGACAAAAAATTGAGTTTAGCTTCATCTTGCACACACTTATACTGAAGAACTGACTTGAACACAAATACAATAGATGCCCTTTCCTCCATATTTACAGTTTGAAATCATTTTGAATAAAATACCACTTTTTAGTGCTGTAGTTATGGTTTGTAATATATTCATATCCCACCTTTTCTTTGCAAGAGTTAAAATGTATATGTCACTGGCATTTTATTATCATAATACTCTTAACCCCAGTTTAGGCTATAAGACAAAGACTGGCACATGGCTGAATAGAGATTTGAAACTGGGAATCTCTGGTCCTACTCCAATGGTTATTCTACATTGACCCTATTTACGATTACCAGAATATGTTGGCAAGAGTAATTGCTTCCATTCCACATGGGCACACAGACCGATCTACACGTTGGGAAGCCTGCAGTCACCAACTTGCACAATTCCTGGAGTATGGCAACAGTGTCATATTTGCAAAATAATATCTATATAGTCAATAATAAAGGAAAATGAAGACCAGTGTTACCTGCTGACAAATGCTTCTTAGTACATATCTAGCATATTCACTGAGAGTAGCAGTTTCAATGGAAATGGTTTTTCCACACAAAGACTGCGAGGCAGCACCCCATATCTCATCATCATTTAGATCTCCCAATAGACTTTGCACTGAGTAATCTGAATTTTTCAAGGAGGGGATATTGTTGCTTCCAATTTCAGCGTCACCTACATTGCAGGATTAGTACAAAGATGAAAAGGCTTATTAGTCTTTTAATATAGTTTGGCTTTCACCTGAGTGCTCTCTTAATTTATTTTTGCTCAATGCTACTCCCAGTTTTCGAAGTTGTTGGTATATTATTTTAATATTTGAGGATTTCTGGCTGTTGTTTTTAGGATGGTTAGTATAACAAACATTTTTTCAATAACGTATGCTATAGTATTATATAATTTGTTAGCTGCCTGAAGTTCTTATATGGATGTAAAATAAACATTTTTGAATTTTAAGTTAAAGCAAGTAAAAGACAATGTACTACAACCCGAAGTTATGTACTTTAACAAGCAAACACATTAAAAGTGTATTTATAATACTGGATAGGAGGAATATTGATTTATCAATATGTCTGATGTGTTATTTAGCTATTAATTTTATATCCTGTCTTTTTCCTAGGAGCCCAAATGCAAATGGAGGGTTCCCCTTCATCTTTCCACACTACAATAACTCTGTGAGTTAGGTTGAGCTGAGAGGTAGTTATTGTCCAAAGCCACGCACTGAGGTCTGGGGGCAAGTGGGACTTCAACTTGGCCTCCACTGGCCCATCCAATATTTTAACCAGTACACTATACTAGCTCCCATTTGTACTTCTATTAATCTACAATTCATCCTGGAAGATGCTTCAGGCACTCTGATTCACTTTCCTCAGAAAAGTTTCAGGTTTATAATCTAACAGGTTTTCAGTAAACATCATAATGTATATCTGGGAGTAAATCCCATTGAGAACCATATGCCTCGCTTCAAAATAAACATACACATGAAGAACTTTAAAGCAAGATCTTACCAAGCATCAGAATTGCTTTCAGAACAGCAAATACTGCTCCCACTTCTATGCTATTGTGAGCAGCAGTTAAAAGTCGGCGATCACAAGATGACCGAATTCCTGGGAAACATTTTTCTGTATAAAAAGAGATGATTCTTTAGGAATACAGATTTCTGTCTCAGTGACACAAGTTACTGTTCTGTGAAGGAAACAGATTTGGAGTTCTTACCACTTGACAACAGGGAAACCTTGGGTGTCCGAAAGAGATGTAGAAGAAGCCTGCATGTCATCCTTGCTCCTGGCTCAGCATCTGGATCTCCACAAGCTAAGGAAAAGGGTACCACTTTATCATCATATCACAGAAAACCAAAATGTCATCCTCAGTGCTTCAACCCAACTGAAAAAAATCCTGAAACTAATTTGAAAAACTCGTATACGCCAAAAATAAAAATAAGACTTTCAAACATTAATGCTGAGGAAAATTCTTACTGTATCAAATGTTCTGCAAAATAAAAATAACATGTTTTCATAAATATATTTCAATCCTGTTTTGTTATCTATTTTTCCAGCTTAATACACTTTTATACGAAGTGACAAAACATTTATGCTATTATTTAACATGTTGACTGTATTCTGGAGATTTGATAGATACTGACAAGACAGTTTACGAGGGAAAATGACAAACGTGAAATATATGACCAAAGAAAAATGGTTTACAAAAACAAGTGTTGGATGTACAACAAGGAAAGATTATGGGAAATAACAACATAATGTGGGAACTGCAAAATACAGTATGTATATACAGTATACACACACACACACACACACACACACATTAGATATATAGATATATAAAAAGTATAAAAAGCCAAATATGAATGTGTGTGAGACTTTAAGGAGTAGTTTCAAGTAAACATAATGCAAAATGTAAGATCATATGAATTTACAAAAATTCAAAAGCAACAGTACTGCGAGAGTGAAACTAACAGCTGTGCAACACACTGTAACAAAGCCCAAAGCAAAATTAATATTTGATGGCAGAAATGAGACATCACAGATAAAACAGTAATAAAAAAAATACTTGCTCAATTTATACATGCAAAAAAGATAAAACGCCTTTTGCTTTGATTTCTAGCGCAAGGAGTAAGAAATGGTTACTGGGCTAATGGACTGTACTACAAAAACTCTTAGCAAATCTTTCTCTCCGAGGTACTGTTATTGTGTTAATAATGCACCTCGAAAGATTATTAAATATGTTTAGAGTGCCCAGCCCATCTTATACTTTAGAAAAAGAAAGCGAGAACATGGCTTTACCCAAGAAAAGAGTCTTCAGTTTGAAGAAATAAATGCAGTGGCCCTGGCATCAATACAACTCACCGGCTGTAAGTAAAGAAGGAAGAGCCACGTGCTGAACTACATCCTCAAGGAAAAAACATTGTCGAGCTATCAGTATGGCAACAAAGGTGGCCAATGAATCATGGAATGACAGATCACTCACCTTAAAGGAAAAAAAAAACCAGGGACATCATTTCATTTGGTTCATTTGATGGGACAGAAACATGGCATTATTTTTTACATAGACCAAATTATGTTGAAGCATTATAAACCAGAGAGCTGACACCTATCTTTCTATTGATCAATCTATCCTTCTCTGATACTGTGCCACAATATATCTGTTGCTGGTTTTTAACTTGCTATGATCCTAGCAAGTCAGAGGTCTGAGAGTGTGAAGTCTGAGAGTGCTGTATAGACAGAGGTAATAGAACTCAGGGCAAAAATAGCACTGTTCAGAGGAGATTAATGCCCCAGTAGCTAAGGTAACCACATCACAGTTAAGAAGACAGGTAAATACATCCAGCTGCCACTACAAGAGAGGTTCTACTGCACTGAAATGGCTTTATTATAGCATTATGGCAAGACAAGATATCTTGGTTCAGTTACCTTGGCAATGGGGATTATTGAAAATTTCCAAAACCAGGGGTATAAAGGTGTTCATAAAATGCTACACCAATCTCAGTCCAACTCTAGTAATACCTCCATTTCCACTACATGGGGTAAATCATTTCAATGTTAACATGGTTCTGCAGAGAAAAGTCCTCTGACTTCAATGAACAGTTACAGGTTTCTCAGTGTACTGCTTTCCCTTACACTCAGGTAGAATCTCTCCTGAAATCTCTCCTGAAAGCAGTGGAAAACAAATAGTTCAGTCAAGCAGACTCAGTACCTAATCAAATTGAACACTCAATTGCCTAGGGTTATAGCAGAGGGCTGGATCATAAAATTAAAGGAACCTGCATTTTAATGAAGGGTATGAATTATTTGCTGTCCCTAAACTTAGCCAAAGAAGGGACCATCAACAACCCTAAAATAATTATAGCCACAACTATGTGTGTCAAATAGGGATCCTTTGGATATTTATTGTTAACGTATTCCTATCTCATCTGTCTAAACAACACAAATGCCTAACAAAGAAAAACAATGTTTAAAATACAGTAATAAAAATGCAATTAAGAGACCAAAGCATCACAACATATTTAAAAACAGAGCAGCAAAGGTTAAAATCCACCAAAGGTTACTAAAATCATCATTGGTCTTCCTTGAATGATATTTTTACACTGAAGCTTTCAAGTCCCTCCCATCCTAGTAGATTCTTTGATTATAAATATTGCTTAGTGAGAAAAGCTCCAGCCACATCATTGATATGTTGGTCTTCTGAGCTTTACTTCATTGGTATGTAGATCGGAATTCTATCTACATTTCTTCCTAGTTTTATTTGAACTCATATGATTATCCTGTCATGTAGATTCTTTTATGATCAGGACATTTTTTTCTTAAGAAGGAAGCTTCTTTTACACATGGAACAATTATACATTTCCTATCCTATATGAGTTTTTTGATGTATCATAGGATATTTTAGCATATTCCATGGTTTCATACTTGAATATGAACTATTTGCAGTAAGACTTGTCTCTAAAGTCTAAGCATTTACAAAGATTATTCCCTGTGCAAACTCTTTGATATGTACAAAGGCTTGATTTATTAAGATAGCACATAGAGGCAGTTCTTTTTGGATCTTTTTGGAATCTTATGGAATCAGTTCTTGAAGAAGCACCAGTTTTATACCTCCACCTATGGTTTGCCTCACTTTTTCTGCTTTGCAGTTCTTCTTCTTTCTTGTGAAAAAGTAACATTAATCCCATTTCTTAAATGCACCTTTACAAATGAGGCTGGAATTTGGTGCTACACTGCTCCTACTCTGAGTCTTTTCAATGCCTGCATGAATCTCTGAAAGTCTAGTGTATTACTGTGACATGTGTAAGTAGTAGCTAACAGACTGAGACAAAAAAAAATGCAGAAATGATTCATGTAAATTAACAAATATTGTATTATGTGTAAGAAGCATAATATAAAAGAAGTATCTGCCTTTTTTATTATACAAGAAAGCTACGAATATTCACTACACAAAATAAAAATCAAACTTATCTTTTTAACTGCATCTTTTGCACTTACATCCACGCTGCAGAGAAGATCATTAAATCCCCAGACATGATTTGAAGAACAGCAAAGGGCTTTCAAGACCCCTAACCATTCTGAACTTAGCACTGTACAGCAAGCAGTTAACTCTGCACACAAGTTGGCAATATCATTAATTCTAGAAGACAAAAATAAATTTTAAAAATCATGCTAACTGAAAGGAAAAAGTAACAATTTCATGGCAGTCAAATATTTGCTGTGTCCAATAGTCTGCAGCTGACCGCATTTTCTTTTTATTAATATATTTATAGAAAATAAAGATGGAATGAAGGAGAAAAGAAAAATGACTCCGTGCTTTTAAAAAATGGCTCCCTGGGTGGAAGTAAAATATGTGGAGTTAAAATATATGATTTAAATCAGTTCTGGAGATAAGCTGTAAAAAAAGTCTTCTTAAAATATTATCAATTATCAAATGGATGAGGAAGCCTACAATTTCCAGAGTTAGATGTGTTGCTCCACTATCTGAAACTCAGGAGATTGCAACATTGCTGGACAATTTGATATCTTACAATAGCAGTACAGCAGTATATTTCAGTAAGATACATGAGCTTTTATGTGAAAATGCAGTTCTAGTGTCTGCTGTATATCCATTTCTCGAGATTATGGGTTTCATATAGCATGCTAAGACATGGTTTATTTTAACACTGTTTATAAGTGATCTGCTTCACGCATAAAGCTAAACCATAAGACATGCTGGGTTCCTTCCTCATGGTTAGCTAAAGCACACAAAGTACATTAGGATTTAGTGCAATGCATGGACCCAGCCAATGACTGCAATTGTTTGAAGGCTTTAGATCACCAGGGACACTCTTCATGCATGATTTTCCTTCAAAGAGATATCTGTGTAGGAAAAAGCATGTGCACCATTATATGATACTGTAGTAGTAGCATGATGCCAGAATTCAGAATTTGGAGGAAGGAATAATATATCCTTCCAAATATATCCAAATAAATATTGTTTATTTATTTGGTAGATTTAGAACCCACCTGACTCCAAAATGACTCTGGGCAGCTTACATTTAAAACAGGAAAACAATAAAAAGAACCCAAGCATCTGGATAAACTGCATAACCAACCACCCAGGGCTTCACAAACACCCTACTCCAAGGTCTGGAAGAAGAGCCAGGTTTTTAAAAACTTGTGGAACATCATCATCAGAGTGGGATATAAACAGCTCTCAGGGGAAATATCATTCCAGAAGGCAGACACCGTGAAAGAGAAGTCATGCCTCCTGGGTCCCAATAGATGGGATCATTCAACTGAGGGGACTCGATGCATACCAAATGGGCAAAGACCATGGGAGATATACTGGACCTATGCTATGAATGTCTTCATAGGTGATAACTAGCACCCTGAATTGTACCCAGAAGCCTACTGGCAACCAGCTCAGCTTGAGATGAGTGGTGTCACATGGTATCCTGAGGCATGACCAACACTGTCTGCACTATGTTCTGGATCAGCTGCAGCTTCTAAGTGGTCTTCAAGGGCAGCTCCATTACAGTACATTGCAACTATCTAACTGTGAGGTGACTACAACATGAATAACTGTCTGAAGGGCCTACTGATCCAGGAACAGCCACAACTGGCAGACCAGATGAAGATATACAAAGGCCCTCTTGGCCACAGGTGTCCCCTACCATTTGAGCAGAAGCTGTGAATCTGGGACAGTCCCCAGATGGTGCAACAGTCTTGAATGGGGGAAGTGGAACCCCACCCAAGAATAAAAATGGAAAGTCCCCAGATCCAGGGGACCCAAAAATTGAAAGCAACTTGGCCTTGGTAGGATTGAGCCTGAGTGAGTTCCTTTCCATCCAGACCTTTAACACCGGGACAGAGCATTGACAGCATCATTTGGGTGGCCTGGAGTTGAGGTGTACATCCACATATTGATGATACCAGACCCCAAACTGACTGATGGCCTCACCCAATGGTTTCATGTAGTTGTTAAACAGAAGGGGAGAAAGCCCTGGGGTACTCCACAGGTGAAGGGCTGTGAGCCTTTTGAGTGGTCCAGACAAGAAGCACAAACCATGTGTCCTAACAGTACATTTATTGTAAGGTTAAAGTAACAGAATATTGCAAGTCTGAAAGCATTTCTCCCCTCCTTTACTTTTACTTTCCAGAAAACTAGGGAGGGTCCCTTCTGAGACACTTTTCCTTCTGTGAGCTGAGATACCTTTTGCATGACAGTTGTCTAAGCTGCAGCTCTTCTTCCTGTCTTCTGAGGTCACATACCATTAGAGGAGCTAAGGGCATGATCTGTCAACACTGACTGGACTCAGCCTCTGAGAAAGGAGAGAACCACCATAGCATAGTACCTGCAACTGCCAAATCCTGCAGCTGGTCCAGCCAACAAGTTGCAATCTCTTAGCCAAGTGATTTTCCTTCATCAATTTTTTTTAATCCTTGAAATAAAATTCATAGCATTGAATTTTTATGCCAGAGTTATTCATGTGCAATTTTGCTTTTGCTATCTTCTTGTAAGAAGTATTGTCAGCATGTCTTATAAGAAGTACAGAGATTAGGGAAGGTAGCCCTTGGCAGAAAAGCCTGCTAGTAAGAGACTAGTCATCAGTATCCACTGGTGGGGAAGAGGTTCAAAAAGAGCAAGATGGCAGAGTCATGATGCACAGGCCACGTCTTGTGTACACAAGCATGATGACAAATGAACAAAAGAAGCAGATCTAGTTTTGCAGAGCTGTATCTACTATCTTGCCTGTTTTTACCCCATTGTAGACCTAGTGGGTACAGTGCTTGTGAAATTTGCCTAAACAAGAAGGTTTATGTTTGCAAAGTAGCCTTACCTGCCTGCATCTTGATGGCCCATGCAGACATTCATTAGTGCATTACACACAAAGCTATAGCGACTAGGTGCATTGTCACTCAGAATCTTGCCCAACACTGAATATTTGAGGGTGCGAATGGAGGGATTCTCAATAAAATCCAACATGAATTCAGGATCCCATAACAAATTGGAATTTGAAGGTTGAACATTGCTATATATAGTCTGTTTTACCTTTGAACAGGCACTACTAAAGAAAGAAAAGGAAAAGAAGGGATTAAGCAAGGAAAACAATTTCATATAAAACAAGTTATACAGTTAGCCAATACTTTGTACAATTCACTTTGCAACACTTGCTCTTAAAGCACTGTACATATAAAATAACTAAGAAGAATTGAAACTCCAGTTCTCAAAGATATCAGAAAATACACACAGCTAAACCAGCAGAAACTGCATGATCCAAGGTGCAATATATTGTTTACTAAAAAAGAATAACAAGGAATAGGTCTCAGAACCAAATAAATCCTGGGCAATTCTTAAGAGTGGGATTTAGATGTTGCAGCACCTAACATGCAAAAAGAATTTTGAATGGCAAGTTCAAATGCAGTAAAAAAAAAAAAAAAAAGTACAAATGACCCAGTGCTTCTACACTAATTCAGGATTAAATCCATAGCTAATGTACCTAAATCAAGTGGCAAAGGATTGTATGACTACATGGCTGGGGCATGATTCCATGCATGAAAGTGTCCATGTACTTTGTATCATCTTTGAGAAACTTATTGGACATTGCCATACTAGAAATAAGAGGGGCAAGCAAATGCAGGCAAAATCTTGCTGCAGAGGTTTTGGAAGGAGAGTGGAGATTTTCCCAAGCCAGATACTATTGAGGGTGCCACATCAGCATTAACAGTATACTCTAATTAGTAAGAGAAAAAATCTCAAATGAACATTCAACCCCTGGTACCGCTTGGAGTTTTAAAGATCCTACCTAACATCTGGCAATTCCAGAAATATTCTTGGTTAAGTGTTTATTCTGAATGCAGCTGTATGATTCAAAGTGCATTCCAAATGGGGTGACAGTATTCCAAAGCTTATAAACACATACCAATATTCTCTTTTTTTCCATCCTGGTCTACAACACATTTTATAAAAGCAGGCAGATTAAGTGTTTCTGTGATTCCAAAACATCAGTGCTGTGATGCTAAAGACCACACTAGAGCTATTGGTTCAGTAATGGTACAAATCTATACAAGGTTCTAATTCCAGAACTGAGAAGGAAACGTCCATCACACTATGTATACTATGCATAACAGAGCTCTCACAGCACTGTGATGCATTGCAAAAATGCAAAGAAGGAGACTTTAAAACATTAACCATTTGGAACCAGTATACCAGATCTCCTGTATAAGGATACAGAATGTTTCTTGATCACCAGAAAAGGGAGCTTGAACCATATATACACACATATAGACATACCAAATACATTATTCTCTTTTGGGATTACTAACATTAAGCAGTGCACAGAAGAGGAATAAATAGTAAGACAAAGAAATTAAAGATATAAGACAAGGAAAAATCAATCTAGCTGAATCTAGTTCATATTAACACCTCTCCATTCTTGTCTATCTTTGTGAACCATCCTTGCTTTCATGTCTATACACTGCTTCATATATTGCCTTTTATTCTTTTAAGTTCTCACCTCTCTCTTTTTGAGGATTTCATTATCTCCATCTGACCATGACTTCCTTGATCTTCCCCTTTCTTGTCACCTTCATATATCCTGAGGACCTGAACAGGGTCCTTGCAGCTGTGAGTTTGGCCACCTGTGTTCTGGCCCTGGGCCCCCTCTGCTTGGTTAATGCCTCCTAGGAGGTGACGTGGTTGGGTCCAAGCAGTGATTAATGCCTCTTTGAGGGAGGGGGTGGTTCAGCCAGATGTGAAGGAGGCGGTGGTGGACCCCCTTCTTAAGAGGCCATCCTTGGGCCTAACTGTATTAGATGACTTTCATCTGGTCTCCAACCTTCCTTCTTTGGGGAAGATTGTTGACAAAGTAGTTGGTTTCAGCTGCAGAGGGACCTGGATGGATTTTCTGGACCCTTTTCAGTCTGGGGTATTGTACGGAGACAGCATTGGTTGTGCTTGTGGATGACCTTTGGAGAGCTTGTGATGGAGGCGGTGTAACTGTCCTGGCACTCCTGGATCTCTTGGCACCTTTCAGTATCATCAACCATAGTATCCTTCTGGACTGGCTGCAGGGAATGGGAGTCAAAGACACTGGTCTGCAATGTATCTCCTCTTTCCTCTGTGGCCAATACCAGTTGGTGTTGGTAGGAGGGGAGAACCAGCCCTAGGCCCCTACAATGGGGGGTGCCTCAGGGTTTGGGTCTCTGACTGCTCCTTTTTAATATCCACATGAAATCACTGGGTAAGGTCATCCAGCAGCAGAGGGTGAGATATAATCAGCATGCAGCGCAGTGTGAGGTATAATCAGTATGCAGATGATACCCAGTTATACATCTCTACCCCTGGCCAGGCAGGTTACACCGCTTCAGTGCTGATTCAGTGCCTGGAGGCTGTGAGGGTCTGGATGGGGAGGAACTAGCTCTGGTTCAACCCTAGAAGATGGAGCAGTTTGGGTTTTTGGCTACTGGCTCCAGTGACATGTTATCTTTGACTCTCAATGGAATAGCACTTTCTTATATAGAGCTGGTGTACAATCTGGGGGTCCTCCTGAACTCACAGCTCCTGTTCGAGCAGGTGGCAGCTATGGCTAGAGGGGCCTTTGTGCAGATACAGTATGTCTTGTGCACCAATTGCATCCATTCTTAGACTGGGAGGCCTTGCTCACGATCACTCACACCTTGGTCACTTCCCTATTGGATTATTGCAATGTGCTGTACATGAGGCTGCCCCTGAATACCATTCAAAAGTTACAATTGGTCCAGAACATAGCAGCTCGCATGGTGTTGGGTGCTACTGGATTTGTCCATGTTATACCATTGCTACATGAGCTGCACTGGCTCCCAGGTTCTTTCCAGGTGCAGTTCAAGGTGCTGGTTATATTTAAAGCCCTACATGGCATAGGCCCAGGTTATTTGCAGGACCATCTCTCCCTGAGGGTATCTGCCTGTTCCACTTGATCAGATAGAGAGTGCATGCTACAGATCCCTTCCCTCGAATATTGCCATCTAATGGGACTTAAGAAGAATGCCTTTTCTGTAGCAGCCCCTGCCCTGTGGAATATCCTTCCCTTAGCAGCCCCCCACCCTCTTAACCTTCTAGAAATCTATTAAGAGCTGGCTTTTCCCCCAGTCACTGGGATAGTAAGGTTGGAGCCTGGGAGACTGTATAGATGAATGGGTGCAGTTGTTAGATTGGGTGCCTGTTTTTTCTTGATTTATTTGTTACATTGTTTATTATTGCTATTAGCCCCCCAGAGTTGTGTGTTACAAGATGGGTGGTCATATAAATATTTTTAAATAATTAAGTAAATTTGTTTCGCAATTGAACCTTATTCATTCTGTTACCAGATCTCCAGCACTTATTTCATTCTAGTTAATGTTTTGTATTTAGTCCACATTCATTCAGCACGACTGACCCTCTCTCTTCTTGTTTTACTATACACAGTTCTTAAACAACTCATCCCCACTACATTTAACTCACTTTTTATATTTCTCTTGACATGTCAAAATCACACTTTTATGTAATGAAGTTGGCAGAAACATACTCTTATACACAGCTATTCGCATTTATCTCAATAAGCATTTTCCTTTCAACAGACCACTTACTATCCACTACATTTCTACTAGCATTTGGACACCTAAAAATTATTCCATCCTTTAGCGCATTTGTAGTAAATATTCTACAATAGTACAAATTCATCTATTTGTTCTGGTTTTCTACCATTTATGTATAATGTTTAATTGCTCATTCAATTTTCCAGGTGGAACAAAACCACCTTGGTCTTTGATAGCTTAATTTACAGATCCATATAACTTGTTGCAACATAATATTCAAATCATTTTGGTTATCAAATAACAGCACGGAATCAATTGCATAGTGAGTAATCAAATGTTTATGTTTCCAAACATTTCTAGAATTTCCACTAACATTTTGTCTACCTTTATCCATAAATATATTAAACAACCAAGAGGACATCATACATCCTTCTCTTACTTCCTGCTCCAAGTTGAACCATTTACTAAGCATTACAGTTATTCTCAGAAACACGTTACTTCTATTATATATTGCTCTTATCACATTCGGCAACCAATCTTCATAATTGAACACAACATTCCACAATTCAAACGTATTTACATTATCACACACTTTCTCTAAATCAACAAGCACATAACTCTTTTTCACATTCATACATATCTCAATAAACTGACAAAGAGCAAAATTCTGATGTGCAATAATGGCATTCTTTTAATCATCAGGTACAGATGCATTCTTCACACATATGTTAAAGAAGTCACACAGCTATTCCATAAGCAAACTGTATCGATATTTTAACTTTTCTCCAGCTAAACCATCAATACCCATAGTCTTCTCAACATACTCATAGCAATTCTGACCTGCTTTTCATCTTTTTCTTTTGGTGGTGGGAGGGGGGAGACACACACACTAACATTTACAGCATTTGTTTCAATTCCTGTAACTTACAAAGTAAAACCAAAGCACTACAGTCATGAAAGGATCAGGCAAGATCAAAGAATTACCATTGTACATTCATTAAATTTCAGGGCTGGTTATCCTACATAGCAGAGTGTAGGTGGTACCGCTGATGGCAGGGTAATAAAGGTGGACAGATGAAGGCAGGAAATATTTGCCAAGTTATATAGAAACTTGGGACAGGAACATTTAATTCCATTTCATGCAGTAAAATAACTTGGGACTATAGTGTTGACTTTGACTCTGAAGCTGGTATCAGTGCTCAGAATCAGTTCTGCTCTAAATAAAATATATCTTGTCCCTTCAAAATAATTAATACTATCACAAGTGGATAATAGTCAAAAGATCCATACTAAATACTTTCCACACCTAATTTTTTTTCAATTTTTTTTTAAGGTAGTAGGAGAAAGCACTTGCTTTCTCAATACACGCAAGCCTTTTGGAAACACTTCTATGTTTCCTTAAGCAACCTGTCCATAGTGGAAGGTTTCAGAGATTTGCAGAAGTATTATTACACACAACAACCCAGGCACTATTGGATCATGCTTGGCTTTTCATCATATGACCAGAAGCTTCAGGAAATTTAGATGATATAACTCATTTCCAAAACGAGAGTTTTTAAAAAAGGAAGTTTGGTCAAAATGAACAATAAATAGGAAGTCACAGAACTTTAACCTGTGAATTGTATAGAAGTTGCATATGCTTCAAGTAAAATGGAGGTAAGAACTAAATTTGAAAAGTTTTTATTAGATCGTAATATTCTACATTTTAAAATGTTATCTTAAAATTTTTACTTTGTAGTATAAATCATAGGATTATTGGAAAAGCTAACTTCTGTGATACAGCAAAAATAATATACTTGCTCACTTCTGCTTGAGAGACACTGGGGGATTTTTTTAAAAAAAGTACTTTCACAGGAAATTAAAGCCTCTGAGCAGAATAACCAGAATTCTTATAATTAAATTAAGTCAGTTATGGAAATAAAACTATGTAAATTAAAGTCAGTAAGATTGAGGTGACTTTAGTCTAGAGTCACCTTCAGAAAGTAAGAATGACTAGTAGTAGAGTAGTCAACAGAGACAAAGCCAAAAAACCCAAGAAGCAACTTCATATTTCATACTCTTTTTGCAAAGTGAATTATTGTATATATGGAATGCCTACATATTAATATTAGGACAGCTACACATTTAAGTATGGACAAACATCTTGGAGAAACCTTTCCTGTATGTGAAACTATTAGAAAACAGAAAAAGCTTGAGGAAAAATATTAACTGAAATCAATCACAATATTGTGTGATCTTTTTCTTTAACAGTCTTATACTACAGTGCCCTTCTCCAAGTTGCTACTTTATACAAGGTTCACAATTCATAATGAGAATGTTGTCTGAAATCTGTATAGTTGACATCCTAAGATATCTGGAGAGCAACTTTTGGGGGAAATAGCTATACCTGTTTCAAGTCCAAAAAAATATGTATAATATATTATTGAAAAAAAAATACAAAATTCCATCATTTTCTATCCATGTTTTTTTAAAAATCATTGACTGCTTTCTTCTAACTGAATGGTCAGTTTATAAATAAGGATGGAATGAAAACACCCTCCATAGCAGAACACCAGAACAGGTATATCAAAGGTCTGCCATAAGTGTATCTGTCATAACCTCCAGCTATAACTTGTGTGTAAGAACAGACATTAAAACAGTAACAGTATATCACTTCAGAAGGGAAGTATCATTAAAAGTTATTAAGGAATGAGGATGAATTTGTTCAGTTCATAACTTAATATGAATTTACTCAATTTACTATTACTGAACCAAATGTAAAGCAAAAAGAAGTGATATACAGATATGGACACATTCTGCCTTCCCTGAAGTATTTTTTCTAAAAATCTGTATAAGCAAAACTGGGTAAAATAGATACAAAATGTCTGTTATAGGAAATTGTAACTGAAAACACATCAAAAGTTTCATATAGAAATGCCTATGTAAGTCAAAATGAAAGCATGTACATCTGCATCTAAACGATCTTTTATATACTTCATAACATTCAGATGTGTTGAGACTGATTTTACTAATTCCAATTCTTGGAGTTATAGACTCAGAACATCTGAAAGGTATCAGACTGGTGAAGGATTATTACATGAAGTTTAGTTCAAATATAAAGCAAAGTAGAAGTTGTTACTACCAACCTGAAAAGGTCTCCAAATTTGCTTCTAAGGTGGCTACAGGACCCATAGAGATCATACAGATAAGCTAAAATACATCTTTCAGGGGAAGAGCATTCTGATGGATTGACTACATGTTTGACAACACCACATAATCTATAGGAAGATAAATACATTATTAAAAATTAGGAATCAGTCACAGTACTTTCCTTCACATGGTTTAGAACTGCAGAATTGAATTATGTGGTCTTAAGCTGCTGCTCTGAGTTTCCAAGACAAAGAGTAATGTTATTTGTAATTAATTCTATAAAATGATATCCTCCTTAACGTATCTACTAAATATATATGTATACATCTGTGTACAAACTAAGTGAAGGATCTGCAACTTATGTACCCTGAGCTATATATGACCTTCTAAAGCCTTTCCAAAAGTTGCGAGCAAATTATAATTCTAAATGAGATGGGAGGGAAAATTATCAAGTGCACAGGAAGTAATAACATTAACTATATATAATTATGTTCTTATTTAATTCAACTTTAGATTTGTCCTGGCTCCCTAGAACTCAACTCTAATGCTAGATACAGCATTGGCCCAAGGTTGTAGATCCCTACACTAGCTATATTATGGACCTGCCGATACTACAAACATTAATGTGTCAATTTTGAAACTCTCTAATAGCTGATATTCAAGTCAATCAACCTCACAAAACTATAATGCACAAGATCTCTTCAACAGAGTTAGTTAATACTACTCTGGTTATAAAAAGAAACAAAATATCTGTGTATGTTTATATTTTTAAGAGTAATAAAGTAATAAAAATAACATTTATAGAATAAAAATAGAATTCAAATATATATATATATATATATATATATATATAT